TTGCTTCGATAAACGATAAATCCTCATTTTGTGTTTCGTATGATTCTCAATATAAACAGCGATTATTTCCTTGAACAATATTAAGAAACTCATCTTTACAATAGTAAAGTGTTGTGTTTTTTTTTAGGTACAGACTTAATTCTAAGATAATATTTAGACGAACTTCGGCTTCAAAGGGCTCAAGATTACACCCACTCTTTGTGAAGTAACAATATATAATATTCATATCATAGAATTTACTACATTGAAGCTTTTCCACAATAAGCCCAATCGAAGTATCGTGAAACCACATAACTTTAATACAAAGTACTTCGGAACAGGTCTACCGTACAGAATATTTTGCCACTTAGAATCATTATTTAGAATTTCTTATACCATTTTTCCTAAATATTAAATCATGTGCTAGAGTGTTCCCAGCGACGTTCGCCCCACTTCAATATCTCCTTCTTTAAATATGCCTTGAAAACAGACACACAAACAGATCTGACTTCAGAATAATATATATCAGCGTATAGTTATTTGAAATCACCAGTGTATTAAGTTGTTTGGATTATTCTGTATCGATCACAGTCGTTGTTAACTGTTCAACGTCGTGCTTGGTCAAAAACCCTGCATCATATTCGGGACGCTCTAGGTTCAAATCTCGTACCAGAAATTGGCTATCCTGGCTAATGTTTTTCGTGGTTTTACTCATTCCTTCAAGGCAAATATTAGAATAGTATATTAAATTAGGCTGCGACCACTTCCTTTCCAATTCCCTGTTCCCTATCCACCAAACCAAGAGTAAAAGAGATAAGCCAAATATCTTTCAAAATTCATATCAGGATTTGAACCCACAACCCAGGTGATCCAGCTACTTACGATCACGTGGCCATGAATAATTTTCCGTTCATTCTAACACCTGCAAATTTTGAAGTGTAAAAAAGTGAATTGTTTGAATTGGATTTAAAAACGCACCCACCAGCCTCAGACCTTTATTTCCCACATCATCGTCCGTACACCGAGGTCACTAGAGACTTCCTTATGACTATGGCGATTCTGTGACGTTCATTTTCTCTCATTGACGTCACAACAGAATCTGGTCTTGCCTGTAAAGGCCATACATAAATATTTTGCTTTTCATGTAACACTTTATTTTGTGGGTTCAAGTAATGATAGTCGTGACTGCCTACGGCAGGGGTGTCCAAAATAACATCAGAGCGAACCAATCTCGTGCTGCAATTTTGCTTCGTATGATTTCTATTGATAAGATGCTATTATTATAACAAATGAAGCTACCTCTCTGAAAATGTAAAATTTAATTGAAGGCTGAACTCATATACAATTATTATTAGAGTAATTAATCACCAAAAATGAGATTTGTGGTAAAAACAATAAGCGTGGAGAAGGTGAGAGATGCATACGAAAGTCTAATCGGAAAAAGAGAACCACTTTGGGGACCTAGGTGTAGATGGATAGGTAATATTAAAATGGTTTTTGAAGAAATATGGTTTGAGGATAAATTCATCTGTCTCAAGATAAGGTCCAGTGGCAAGCTGCTGTGAACGTAGTTATATACCAAAGTGTTTCATAAAAAAATGGGGATTTATTTACTAGCTAAGCAACTATCAGCTTCTGGAAAAGGACTCTGCTCGATGCAGTTAATCCACATCCTATAAAACTCCCCTTTATGGTACATGGCAGTTAAGGGCATTTATTCGTAAACGTATAAAAGTTTTTTTTATTTCCAGAACCATCAAGAACAAGGCATTTGGGCTTTGTGATTATGCTTACGTTCTTTATCTATTTGTATTTACGTAGTATAAATAAACAAAGGAGTGGTAAACGTTGGGATATTCAGCTGTATCCCAAAAACGGAAAATGACTAGAACTGAGCTGGCGATTTCGCCATTTTATTTAGTAGCTAAATACTGACACCATCGCTGTCATGTACTCAACCACTGGCCTTTGTCGACATATATTTCATTTTATTGACTGATTTTTAACTTAAAGTTTTATCTGTCTTAAAAAAATATCTTAATGCATTTTGTACCGGTGCACCTTCTGCGCCATCAAACCGCTTATGACATTTGACATTTGGATACCTTCCGCTCATACCCCCATACCCCAAGCCCTCGAGGCCACCAGCAGCTCGGCTATTCTCATCCCATTGATTCTCGGATATAACCTGCTTCCAGCTAATGGAAAGCGTTTACAATACTGTAACAAAACTATAAACACTAAATTCATACGTAAAGTTCACATTCTTCACGCAAGAAATTCACACACTCAGACTAAAAGATATTTTGTTTCTAGAATAAATACACCGAAAATTTGTGTGTCTGAGAACTTTGCTTTTTGCGACACCACTCGCAAGACTGATGAAAGAAATCGTCCGTAAAGTACAATTATTCATTGTCACAAGAGTTGTAGACTGCACAGTTGAGATCAGTTGTTTTAGAAAGCGTTCGCAACCAAACGCTACAAAAAAATCGGTTGTCAGCTTTGTGATGTCTATTTATCCGTCTGTGTGCATGTAACAACACGATAACCGCTTTAAGTTTTTTTACTAAATTTTATATAGGTGAGTTTTGCTATAATATGTCGATAGATTTCAATCGAATACAGTTCCGACATCAATAACAGACACTTTACAAGAAGACCTACATGCTTTCTTGAGCGCGGAAGTTACTGGGTGAGGTGCCCCCTTAGTCAGTTCCATCCATAGTCACGCGACCACGTGAGAGATCCCTGGGCGATGACACTGGCCCCAGTCAGACACCCCTCAGGAGAAGGTCATTAACCCATAAACCTTTGAAGCCACTGACACCATTGGCAAATGTCACATTCTGACAAACCAGAACTGCTAAGGCAAAAGCAGATTCCCTATTTTTTTCTTAATTAGGGACTGTTTCTCTCCTGTAGTACTTCAGCAAAGCTAAGGTATGAGTTGCGAGGTCGAAAAGAAGCCGTTTTAATAAGCTGCTATAGTTTAAAGGGGCTAGAAATCCACAGATTCACCGATTACTAACTCTTTCTCGTTTATTGATGTTACTACCCATTTAAGTTTTTAAATCTAAACCGGTTTACTTTATTTCTCACGTTAATCACAGCTATTTCAGTCATCTCTAAGGAATATTCAAACTGTAAGTTTAATTTTTACAAAAATAAAACCGATTTCACACGAGATGTTTCGTAGGCAAAATTCAGCAGCCATTTCTCACCCAAGTCTCCAGATTCACTGCTGGATGGCTCTGGCAGTCAAATCGGGATTGAGTAGAAATTGTGCTGCTCATAAATGCACACTTCAAGACCAGGAAACCTCTCAGGAAGCCAAGACCCGAAAAGGGTTATAGCGCAACTGACGATGATGAAAACCGATTTCACGTGATTACCTTACCGTTTCACGTATTTTCGACATTTTATTTCGTAGATCCGTTGAATTGCCCATAGAATGTGTTTATGAGTTTTGTGTGATTTTCAGAGTAAATAGCGACTACTTTCCTAAATGTGTTGTACTTTCTGTGTGCATACAATCATCGGTTTCCGATGATTAGAAAAATACCTTCTTTAACTTCCCCCACGATATGAAAATTATCTATAAAAGACACACGCAGACGTGCGCACAAAATCTAGGAGTCGTCTCATAAGGCTGCTTTCCTAGCAGAAATGAACCTAATATAAAGTTAAAAATGTAACTTTGAACTTTCTGTTACTACAGATTTGCATACACATAATCTGATTCTCGCATCGTATCAACACTAATTTTAGCCTATAGGCCTGTTATCACATCTCTAAGAAGATATGCCTTCTTAGTTCGAGTTTTAAATGTATTCAGTAGTGAACCATGTGTGATAACCTTGCCCAAAGTTATTTAGTTTATTTTTGTGAAAATTTTCCATTCTACGCAGAAGATACGTGGCTTAGAATCACAGATCACTTGGTTTCAATTATTTTGTGTTCGAGAAATTCGGTAAAATAAATACTCAGAGCGTGTTTCAACAGTTTAAGCAAACTATTCGCGGGTTTCTAACAATGGAACTCATATAATGGTTAAATATTTGAGAGTTCGTATTGTTTGCTTAATATTCCAGATGTGTATATAAAATCGACAGCACTGACATATTATATGCTGACAGAGACAAACAAAATATTATGGTAGAAAGATTTTCGTATAATTCATATATCTTCCACTTCAGGAGATGATACGCGATAAGTATAGAATTGCAACTCAGTCAGACAAGTCAAAGGTTAGAAATCAAAACAAGTGCAGGTTCAGATCGTCTAGGTCGAAGCCCCCCTCCCCCCTTCCCCCCCAATTCCACTCAGTTTCCAGACAGAATGCGGCATGATAACTTTTTAGAATCGAAACCTTCAGCAATGAGACGGATTGCTTCACAGGATCAACAACTCGGAATAAAGACTTAGGAATAAATGCTGGCACAGTTATTACTCCATCGATAAACAAGACATCAAAAGAGCATCCATTATGTTTTTAACAAAGTAAATTTATATACACAGTGCAATTTCTGTTGAGACAATTTGTACTAAAAAGAAGTGAATTGAATTTTAAGACTAATAACATTTAGTTTACTGATTATGAAAAGGCATTGGATGAGGTTTAAATATGACGAGGATCATTTGCTTTCTAGGAACGAGACAATCGTTCTACAATGAAATTCACCTTCTAACTGGAACAAAAATACAGACTTTCGAAGTTTTACATAGCCTATTCTTATTCTCGATGTCGAAGTAATTACATCAAAGGGTGTTTACTTATTTATATATATATGTTTATTTGTGGCTTATTTAACGACGTTGTCAGTAGCGTAGATTGTACTGCGTCGAAAAGCAGTGTTACAGAAAAGTACTTAGGTGAACGCAGAGGTAAGATGACAAATTAATAGGTTTACACCATTACTATTAGAAAAACCGAAGGAAAACCTCCATTTGTTCCTGTGGATGAGAGGATAATAATTGAATCGGTCTTAAGAAATAGGATCTTAAGAAGCTGAGTGGACTCATCTCGTTCAGGATAGGATCTGTGGCAGGTTTTTGTAACACGACAATAAATCTTCGTGTTCCATAAAAGAAGACAAATTTCTTCACTAGCTTGGCGTACTATAAATTTATCAAGAAAGACTCTGCCCCATGTGGTTAGTTACTTTACTTATGTCCACACGATCTCACATGGACTATGTATCTACCGTCGAAACAGAATGACCGTCAGTACCCAGCAGAACGCCGTAAGGGTGTGCTCGGCTTCATCGATCCTGCTAGCTGGGTTCCGCTTTGTGCCTCGCCCTACAGGACCCTACAGGTCTCCACGGCCTTTCTCAGGTAACATATCCTATGTTGTACACGTGTAAATATATGGGCACTTATAAAACAACAGTTTCGTCAGACTTCCTTTGCCAAAAACGAAGAACCTGTTTTATGGTGGACGTCGAAGGGCGTAAATACGTACGAACAAGTTAAACAGTCTGGGACCTGTGGCCATCAGCAGCTGCAGTAACAGAAGAGACATTTATTAACCCGACAGTTATGTTCTTTAAAATAGTCCCTCGAAGAGATTTCTTATACGATGAAGATACAGGTTTTTAATTATCGAAACCATGTGAAATAAAATTGTAATTAAAAAAGGAAATTAAAAACGTTGAAAAATGTCTAAAAGTGAAATAGGTTGTTGATTCTCTTAAAACAGGAATACTGGATAACTTTCCTTTAATTATCTTTGAGACTTTCGTTTCATAACAACAAAATATGAAAGTCATGAAAGAGAAAAGACTCCAAGCGACCAGTCTATCAGAATTTTATTAAATTCACGTCAGTGTACACAGATGTTATTAAATAAAACGGTATGCAATAATATGCTTCTAGAGAAAATACCTTGTATAATTCATACTCAGATTAAAACACACACTAATACTAAAAAATATGACTGTGTCTACAATGATCTTAATTTCTTTTTTTACTTTATATGAGCTGATCTCGGTCAAAAGCACAGAACAATGCAAATACCTAGGATATTTTAAGTTCTTACGGCGGCTAGTACGAAGATGGCTGTCTCATGGGTTGTAGCGCCGTGTAGTCTGGTATAAGTTTACCGACGTTTCAGAGATGCTTCCTGCCATCAACATCAGGGCTATGAGTCGCCCAGAAGATAGCCATCTTTAATGTGAACACTTCGTTATTGACAGTAAAAAAAGTAAATCATGAAGTATTCACTCCAATCTTTCCAAAGTCGAAGTAACCCGTAACATTCAATCACAAATAAATCCCGCATTATTAACAATAGGAGTGAATTTTGACAAGTTTATTAATTATTCTGTTCACACCCACCGTAACTGTGATGTGAAATTAACATTTATTTCCTCGACTGGAGTCAATTATTCTTTCCCTCTGGACAACATGCGAGTAATTCCCATATTACTATGTGATTATCTGAATAAACACTCCTGCACTTTTCAACACGTATCCGCTAAAGTTATCGCTATCCATAAACAAAAAATACATCCTGGATGTAATTAGCTCTTGAAAAGATTTCCTGGCAGAACTAGAGACTGGAGTTCCTGTAACACTTTCTGGTGTGTGCTATGCTTCGCTACCACCGACCGCAAGAGAACAAGTCTCACCCTTTTATAAAACAAGCAAACTGTTCCTGACAGTTCCTTATAAAATCAGAGTCCCGTCAATTCAGCAGTTTAAAATGTCTGCCTCTACCATCACAACTAAATCCTTCAGCTGAATTGAATTAAAAGCAGTATATTTTTAGTTCTACCCTCTCCAATAAGTACCACATACTGAATGAGTGATTTTTTGCATAAACATTGACAGTGAGAAATATAAATTGTAAAACGAGTGAGCAGTAGTCCAGTCCCTGCATAATAAAATTAATAGGGACTTACGTTTTATTTAGTTATACGAATGATACCTGGAACTGTCATAAAATATTGTTTATTTTTAATCTTGTTTTATTAGATATATTTATAATTCCATTACAATTCCTGGTCTGTTACAAGCAAAACTAATTAACTGAAAGTGTTTGAGAAGAATGTGCTGACCTCTAAACCCTAACAGGTAACGTAAAAAGTGTTTTCCCTTGCTATATGTAATAAATAATACCACTCAGTTTAGATTCCTATTATGAATTTATTAGTTCAATAACATCTTACATCTCATATGCAGGAATTATAATAATGATTATGAATTAATCGACAAACAATCAATAGCTTTCTTCATAGTATTAAAACACTGGTAAAAGATTACTGTAGACCCTGTGTTAAGGCAAACGCATCCTAACAAGCATTTGCATTTTGCACAGCTAGTTCAAACTTCAGTGAAAATTGGTATTCTAACCGACAAAACTACAGCACAGCGGGAGTCAGATAACGTGCATGGGAAAGCACCTCAAAGTTCCTGGAAATATCAGACTGCAGCAGACACTGATTGTGTGGAATCTGGAAGCATGGCTTCCTTGAGCCGAAATGCGTCACCAAAAACTTATATGGACACATAGTGAAGTTCTTGTTGTAACCCGCAAATGTTGTAAGCTATTTTTATTATCCGACTTTTTAAGTATAATTGATACGATTAAACAGACTAATGCGGCTAAAATATAATTTCCTTAGTTTCATCTGAATGCATCCCCCGGGGCAGCCTTTGTACCGATTCGCCGAACCTTCTCTGTGAGTATATAATTTAACTTTCAGTTAAGATATGTCACCAGCACATTATTAAGGTGTTTCAGATTATTATATTTGTATTACCATTACCATTCTCTTCTCTCGATTGCCTGTATATGTTATATGTAACCTTAGTTAGATCCAAGCTCGAGTACGTCTCGGTCGCTTTGAATTCTATTACGACTACTGATGCCAACAAACTGGAGCGTATCCAGCAGAAGTTTGCAGCTCTTTGCTACTATCGTTTCCTCGTGTGCTCATCTCTGTGCTGTATCTGTAATTGGCCTTGTGGCTGTTGATACAGTTCACTAATAATAAATAATTGAATTGAATTGAATTGAATTAAATTAACTATAAGGTAAGACGCTTAGCCTTCTAAGTTCTTCTAGGACATCAGACACAAATTGTAAGTAGAAATGTCTTAATGAATCCCGATTTGATACATTCGCAGAGCACATGCGCCCCATTGCAGTTAAAATTTCAAATGTATTGCACACTATTAGTCTGTGCATGGTCAGAAGGCCATGTCAAAAAAGACGTCTCAAAAGATTTTATTATTATTTACGATTTTCAGTCTATCTTCGATTAGTTGTATTTAAATTCGAGTTATATTTATAAAACATTTTTTCAATAAGCCGTAGAATAATCGATAATTATATTTCAAAACGATTTTTAAAGCATGTACTTATAACAACTTAAGAATTTTCAATCAAAACTAAGAAATCTTTGTCCAACTCTTGTTTCTGTGTGCCCTTAAAAAGATTATTTTCCCAGAATACTTTTGCCTGAGGAACAGCAATTAATGTTTTAACTTCTGTCCAATCCAAACTAGATTTTGTTTCGATTATCCCTAATTGTGCGAATATTTCTCGAAGAAGAAGGCACTCATTTCTACATAAATCCAGCTCATATACCAGTCCTGCATTTACTCATATCACCGACAGATACTGGAAATTCACTTTTGCATAAACATTAATCTATCGATTCAAATTGAACTTGATACTGTGTAGACCTTGTCCATATCCGGTTTCACTTCTCCAATCTAACTTACAATGTGAGATCATTTAGATGAAATTTGCTGTTGAACGAATGCAACTTCCAGGAATAAGGTAATTTCATAATGCTCTATTTCAACATTTAATCCAGATACCGATCTGCCGTGCTGAAGCAAGAATTTAATTGCGTTTGGATTACCGATGTAAACGTACGTGTGTTTGGGCACGAGACCACGTCGCGACGCAACACGACCGTCCTAGTTACGGAATTTTGCTTATTTTCTCTCATGCAGATTCCCAGACTCGTATTTGACACCCAGCTCTAAAATATAATGGCATAGAGCGAATGAATTCTGTATAAAACCCTGCCAGCGCATTTATTTAATCTGTAGGAGCAATTACAGCCCTAAATCATAAAACATTATGTGTTCAGGTGAATGATAAAGTTGGACACAAATTGAACTGTATTAAATATAAACGAAGTTCCATGAAGATTGTTGTGCCGTGTAGTCTGGTAGAAGTTTATCGACACTTCAGAGGTCCTTGCTGCCTCCATTATCAGGGCGATGAAAAGTCGGTAAACTTCTACTAGACTACACGGTGCAAAAACCCAGAAGACAGCAATCTTCAGACTCACCACCGTGAAAACATCGAATCCTACGAAGCTCCATTACTTCCGGAAATTATTAATTACGACGTTTAGAGAGACAAAGGTAGATTGGACAGGCAGTCGAATAGAGAACCAGAAAAACTATCTCCTGTCCTAGTGATTATTTATTTAATGTAGATATCAGATAATTATTTTGATTGTTCCAAATCAGTTATAGATTTTTTTTGCAACGAAATATTGCGAGCACGGATTCGGCCCAAAGAGTCAGACGTTCCAGCCGTCTAATCGTGCCAAAGCGCAAGTTCGCTTCACGGCTTCACTGTCTACAAACACACTGTACTTTATGAACTGGACACATCAAATTCACAAAAAAAAATTTCTGAGATGCCGATGGTCTCTCAGATACTCAAAAAATTTCCCGCCTATATAAAACACAAATTCTCATTACCACGTTTGCAATGGCCCATCACTGGACCCTATGTGGAGCCAGATGACTCAAATATCTTATTTTTATAAGACCTGTTTAAAAGTATTTTACTATTTACGCCTATGTCTCTCAATTTATTTCTTCCCTTTATATTTTCTGGCTAAAATTTTTCATTTCATTCTTAAAGATTGATCCGACTTTCTGGTTTCGTTTAGATACTAAAGATTGAATATGCTACATATAAGCTGAAAACGTAAAGTAGCGACGCTGTGATAAAAAAGTGAACTGTGTGAAATTTAGTGAACACATTTTTGGCATTCGTCTTCCACTGACTGGCAAACTAAAAGTAGGATACTTTCGAAACAATGCAAAGTATGTTTACAGCTTGGATAGAGCCAACTCTAACGAAATAATATTTCACGAAGCAAGACATATAATCTATGGGTAAAATGTTGATACCACAAATATCACAGAAAAAAGTGAATAGTATAAATTTCTTAAGAGGAAATGCGTAGATATATATCACAAAGAATGACAATTTTATGTCTGGAATGTCTGTTTCAGCAGACAAAAATCTTACCTTTCAGACAGACGAAATCCTCTATAAATGTAGAAACAACATTTTCCCCTCTCCGGCTTCAATATTTCAAAGTTAAAGTGAAATAAAGAATGTTAAACTAATGAAATTTCACGTGAAGACGCGATTAAGATTTTACAACCAAAATCGTATATGGAACAACTAGAGTTTCCCGAAATATTATATGACTAAATGTCATTAACACTGAAATCATTACAAATGTTCACTAATGCTCTATAATGTGAATACAGAAAGAAAGAGAAAGAGAGAGAAGGCACATTAGAAGACTTAAAATGTAGATGACATTTTGCGGCATCCACATCCATTAGAGGCCTGATGATTAAAAAAGTCTACTTGGGAACCAAACCCAGGTCGTCAGGACCGTAGGCATACACTCTACCAGCTCTTCTTAACTTTTTTAAAATTTATTTCATGTGAACCGTATAATATAACTGATGAAAAACGCATCTTTTCTGTTTAACTTCTGAAATGTAAAACTACATTTTTACCCATACCAACTTTTGGCTTTCCGCCACAGAAATGCGATGTGTTCTGATTATGAAGAAAGTGTGTACTTTATAATCAGTATTTATTTGGCACCATGGAAAATTTTTCACGTTCGAGTTTCGCGTTTCTTCTTGTTTAACCTACAACGTCCCATGGATATAACGGAAGTTCATAAGTCCATAGCGACTATGAATTCCGTAGTGTTTGAAAACGAGTCGTAAGTGAAGATCTTTAATAAGACTTGTCATGAAAATATTATTTTTGGTCAAATCCGTCAGTGGGAACTGCCGCCCGTTAAAATACGCACAAATATATCAAATTATAAACTAAATTAAAAAGCAATTCTTCAGAAAAGTTTATTAAATATGAAGAAGAAAACAATAATTACGTAATTAGGAATCAAAACAAGAGAATTAAAGCAGGAAAAATTCGGTTATTTCAAAGATGGTTGTCTTCTGAGTCTTCGTTTAGTCTTGTAGAAGTTTAAAAATGTTTTGCCATCATGATGGAGGCAGCAAGCACCTCTGAAACGTCGTAAAACTTCTACCAGACGGCGCAACAAGACAAAAGACAAAAGCCCTGTAGATGAAGACAGAAATCATCCCTGAAACTTCTGTAAGGTTTTACCAGACCACACGGCGCAATAACCCAGAAGACAGCCATCTTCATACACGTCGCCATGAGAACCTGACATTTCATTCAATTATTTCGATTGGAAACGTCTTGTATTGTTCCTACTATAGAAAATTACATTGGAATTAAACAATATGTACATTTCTGAGTATCGATAATGAAGCTTTAGGACTCGCATTCTGTTTGTAGTGTCGTGATAAAACAAATGGATCAGGATGTGATATGTTACGTTGCAAAAGGTAACTGCTCATCGTGTGTGACAGGAGAAAATGAAACTCTACTTGCTAATCAATTCGTAATTACAATTAATGGTCTCAACAGTGATACTTTTCTTCTTTGTTGTTAAAAAGAAAATTCAATTACGATAACTGTACAATTTACGGGAATAGTCATATATTTTCAAAGAAAATTCTAATTAAGAATATAGAGGAATTTTGACTGGTGATTATTCTTAAGGGGATTAAAAGAACGAATTGAAATCGTATTCGTATAATTGAAGAAGACGTGGACAAATCAATGAACGAAGAATATAGTAATTTCTCTTTTGGATTAACTCCAAATGCACGTATTTTTAAATCTTTTTGAGGCAAGGAAATTCAATTTTCATTGTGTTGCCATAAAAAATAAAAAATACCAACGAAGAAGTGCTTAAATAAAGAATGGGACATCTCCGAGTAACAAATGTCTGCTTGTCACGCCATGCTGGAGAGACAGAGCTCCTCTTCCAAGCAGATTAATCGACACACGGTCCATATCTCTCCACGCCTCTTCTCTTTGAATAGCATCTCTGTGTTAGATAAATTATCACCGTCGCCTTTCGCATTCCCAACCTTTGTCGCTCAGAGGGTTGTCCAAAGACTACGTACCTAATCGATAAAAACATCGTGTTTTCTTGGGAAACAAGGAAATTTAGCTATGCTTGAAAAGCGTTCCTTTACGAGGGGAACCTCTTGACACGATCAGAACATTAATTACAAAACGTATAAGAAATTTTTAAATTTAACTAGGTGCCTATGAAAGTTTTGGCGTTTGTTTAAATTAATTTAACGTTTAGTTGGACACATTATGTGAGTATGCATGTCCTGTATAGACTGAACATTTATTTGGTATTATTTCACACGCTCATATGTTTTTAAATACTCTCTTCCGTGTCAGATGGGGTGAGCTGTCAGCATCACGTCGCGGCCGCGCTCTGCCTCATGGGAAATTGTCCCCGCCTCCCACTGGATAAAAGGCCGGGTGAGCCCCACACCTGGTGTGGAGGCAGAGGCTACTGGGTCACCTCGACTCGTTCAAACTGACGTAGTGACGTGCTGACGTTAATAACCAGACAACGTGTCATCAAGTGACGATAGTGGAGGGATAAAAATAAGTTACGCTTCTTCTCCGGCAAGTGAAAACTGTGCACTGGGGACTCGCATCAATTTATTTTTGAATTCTTTATTTTATTGGTTATTTTTTATTTGTGGTTCATCTTACGATGCTGCCGATAACTCAGACTATCAAATGTGATGATGATCAATGAATGATGAATTGTTAGGTTATGGAAGTAACCGATCGTAACCCAATTTTAGGTACTATCATTGCATGTCACTGGAGAGTCCGAACAAAGCCACCATAACTTCAGTGAGGATATACGGTCTCCTGGCCGAGACTTGAGCACGTGGCCTCCCGAATACGAAGCAGTATTCCATCCTGCGCATACACAATTTCTCTCCTATTTGTTGCAGGCAGTTCCTTCTCAGACAAATTCTAAGAAGCTCAGCACGGAATCAAAGTATGTGAGAAAAGGCAACAAACATCGATACAGCTCTTTGTGCAGTATTTGTTTTTTGTCTATTGCAGGTAATTTTCATGGTTTACATTCGATATTTACGTTTCTCTACCTTCGGATAAAATAAATCGTACACAATGAATAAGAAATGTGCTTCAATTCAAGTTATCCAAAACTCGTTCCAGAATAAGGAAGGGTGAGGACATTCTATATGCGATCAGACAACAGAAATTTAAAATGAAAGGTTAGTGTGCAAAGTAAATATTAATACCGATCATACTGCCGAGGTATGTTATTTGTAATACTTCTGCGCTTTGCTAGATGGCAGCACAAAGCAAGTGATTCGTAAACAGGATCAATAACACATTGGCACAGATGACGTGTTTATTGTATGGACGCAAATTGTAGTCATACATACTTTTCAATAGGGTATATCATTAGCTACAGATTTACGACAAAACCCGTCATACAACGTTGCCTCAGACCAGATAACCGACATGCAAATGACAAGTGTGGGTCTCTGTAAGTTACCAATGAACACAAATATTTACCCCAGTCCCATTACAAGTTCAAACTTCACATACAAAAATTCTTCTTTCGAAAACTAACAAGGAAAAGGGGGAGGTGAAACAAAGAACAGATTTTGAGAGTGAAATGAGTATTAATATTATTATTATGCCCGTTCTTCACTCGTTTTAGTTTCGGATCACACATTCGTCTCCAAATCACAATCCTTCGATTTCTCATACATTGCCTACATCATGGTTGGAGCTATACTTTATGTATCCCATTTTACAGCATGTTCAATAGTTCTATTTACGAACTGCAGGTTCTTTCAGTTGTCTCTGTCTTCCTGATACAAATACCACATCCAATAAATAGGCCTAAACAAGAAAAGGGAAAATATTATAGTCGAACGACACTGGAAACAAACCAAGGTTTGTGAGTGGACAACGATTCGACGCGATGCTTGTCATCGGCTGGTACTGAATACATTTTGCTTGCTGTCTGTAGACGTACTCCTTCAATGTTCTTATTTATTCAAATCCTTTATAACCATTATCTCTATTTACCGTCATATTTTATGAGAAAATTCCAAGGGCAATTAATACTGACCTACTTCTACAGAACTGAACACAAGAATAAAAATTATAGCTAAACATCCCGTATGACGTCATTTTATGTAGCTACGTAATAGGTTCGGGTTAATTTTCTATTCGAGTGTGTGTGGGTTTAGTGGAGCGTCAGCTTCTCTGACTATTTGAGCCTATAAACACTTGAGGGCAGATTAGCATCGATGACGTCACAGACACCTTTATGGTTGACTTGCATGCACAAAGCAGGACGCCGAACTACGATTAAAGGTAACTAACCATCAGCAAATGACAACAAGAATAACCTTGCATATGGCTATATAGAGACCTTGACAATGGGCTTCAAAATAAAACAAACTTGTTATCGAAAAGTAGCTGTGTTCGATTCCTTCTCGAAGGTATCACCACCTTGTCGAAGGCAATCTGCCGGGTGAGGAGGCTTGCGTGCTCAAATGACCCTTAGGGCTATGCCGGCCTGAGCTTCGGCTCATGGTAGGGTCACCCAAGCCGGACAGGTCTAAGGAGATGCGCTAGACTAAGAGTGATACCCTGGTCCTCCAGGTTGGGGGTTGGGTGTAGGGCTAACAACCTTTCACCTTTAAAAAAAAAATAGGTGTTACGAAAAAATCAACCAAGCCTCGGATCAGGACGGACTCTTTGGCACGACCACAGCAATTGAAAAAGGACATGAGATTTGGTACCTGGAACATTAGGAGCCTCTATAGGGCTGGGGCACTGAAATCAGTGGGTAGGGAATTAGGGAATTATAAGTTAGACTTAGTGGCAGTGCAGGAAGTGCGATGGGAGGGGGAGGGCACGATCCCAGTGGACAATTTTACATTTTTCTATGGAAAGGGGAATGACAATCATCAGCTAGGGACGGGTTTTTTTGTTCATAGCAGAATTAGGGCAGCAGTTAAGAGAGTAGAATTTGTTAGTGACAGGTTGTCTTACGTAATTTTGGAAGGACGTTGGTGCGACATCATTGTCCTTAATGTTCATGCCCCAACTGAAGACAAAAGCGATGATATCAAGGATAGCTTTTATGAAGAATTGGAATCAGTATTTGATACATTTGGCAAGTATCACATGAAAATTCCGCTAGGAGATTTCAATGCAAAAATTGGGAGGGAGGATATCTTCAAACCCACAATAGGCAGCGAGAGTCTCCATGCACTTAGTAATGATAACGGTCTTAGAGCAGTAACCTTCGCTACGTCAAAAGATTTAATTGTAAAAAGTACAAAATTTCCACACCGTGATGTTCATAAATACACTTGGACTTCCCCAGATGGCAGAACACACAATCAAATAGATCATGTTTTAGTAGATAAGAGAAGGCAGACAAATGTAATTGATGTGAGATCATTCAGAGGAGCAGATTGCGACACTGATCATTATCTGGTGGTAGCAAAAGTGAGGGAGCGGCTTTCAGTAAGTAGACGAACTAAACAAAATTTTGACACAGAAAGATTTGATTTGAAAAAATTAAGTGAGGGAGAGGCAAAGGAACAATATCAAGTTGAAATTTCGAATAGGTTTCAAATTTTAGAGACAAATGAGGATAATGAAAGTGTGGACATCAACAGGGAGTGGGAAAATGTCAGAAACTGCATCAAAATTTCAGCAAAAGAGAAACTAGGATACTACAGGAGAAAGCAAAATAAACCGTGGTTTGATGAAGAATGTTCAAAATTAATAGATCGAAGGAAGCAAACAAAATTTCAATGGTTGCAGAACCCAAACAAAACAAATGCGGATAATCTATGTAACGTGAGACGTGAGGCTAGTAGAACCTTTAGGACTAAGAAAAGGGAATACCTGAAGGGCAAAATTGCTGAACTTGAGACAAATAATAAGGAAAAAAACATCAGAGACCTGTACAGAGGCATTAATAACTTTAAGAAAGGATATCAACCCCAGACTAATTTGGTAAAGGATGATAGTGGCAATTTGCTTGCAGATCCAATAAAAATTGTGAATAGGTGGAAAAATTTCTTTAGCGAGCTCTTAAATGTTCATAATACTGGTGATATTAGACAGATTAAAATGCATACAGCTGAACTGTTGGTGCCAGAACCTAGCTTAGATGAAGTGGAACTAGCCATTGGGAAGTTGAAAAGTTATAAATCTCCAGGAATTGATCAGATTCCGGCCGAATTAATTAAAGCAGGTGGCAAAGGGTTGCATATGAGGATCCATAAGCTTATTCAGTTAATTTGGGATAAGGAAGAGATGCCACATCAATGGAAGGAATCCATAATTATTCCTATTTATAAGAAGGGGGACAAGACTGAGTGTGGTAATTACCGAGGAATATCGCTGCTATCAACCTCATACAAAATTCTATCCAACATTCTTTTGGCAAGATTAACCCCATATGCGAATGAAACTATTGGGGATCATCAGTGTGGGTTCAGACGAAACAGATCAACGATTGATCAGATCTTTTGCATTCGTCAGATACGCCCAACTGTAGAAAGGCCTGGCAGTGCATCTATGCTCAAAGACGAGTGACTTGATAATTAATAAGCCCGTAACAAGACTGCCGGCAAGGCTGTAGAGGGGTCTGTACGTGGAGTTAGGACTCGTAAAATATAACGGGGTTCCATTGAAACTTAAGTTTAATTTTAATTTTGACAGGTCGTAAGTTCCTACAGACAGGCGCTGGTTCATCACGCACCAAATGACAAAGTGAAAAATGCTTGTGACCGATTCGGAGGCATGTCAGTGTGACTCCTCCTACCTGACGACAGTGAAAGACGATAGCCACTTCCGCACAGATGGCAGCACCTTACGCAATTTTCTTCCCGTATTGCCACGAGAAAAGAATAGCGCGATGTAAGAAGATACGAACATCGTAGTCGAAATATCTATCAGAGACCAGCGTTCCGTCCAAGGCTGCCCTGTTGCCAGCGAACCAGTGCTCAGGTGCCCAACAAAACACAACAGATCTCAACAACGATGGGATGGTCAGGAGAGTGGCCACTGAGACACTGTAAAGCGCTTAAGGAATTTGTGCAGATAAGATGGTGGCGGACGAACAGAAGAGCTAGGCATATTGCATAAAGTTTGGTGGTGAGGACGCTGTTAAAACTGTGGGAGCGATAGGAAAATACACTGACTGTCGGTCGATCCTTGTACAAAGGAAAGATCAGGGGCTCTCCCGACTCCAAAGGTTTGTTCTTTGTTCCCTCAGACGACTAGTGCGAAAGGCGCAGATTGTAAGACGAATTGCTGCATTGTGACTGCGTCTACGCAAGAAACAGGCTGTGTATTTACTATCAACATCGAGAGATATGCATCGCTCAACTCCTCTCGAGAATTTGTCGACATAGATTCCATGGACGGCATTACGAACGATCCTTTGCCGACCAACATGTTTAAAAAAGCAATAAATTCATAAACAGAAGAAAAATGAGATGTGGGACAAAACTGCTGTTGTGAAAACACAGATAGACATGACAGAGCCAGGTGAGGATGAAGTGGTGATTATGTTGATGATATGGTATGTGATCAGGACGAAAAGAGATCAGTTGAGAAGAAGAAAAAGTGGTAACGGCGATTACAAGATGAGACACGAAAGTGGAAGAAGTTTAGGAGATGGAAAGAAGAACCTGACAGACCCCTTACCTTTATGACGGGAAGGCGCAGAACCTATGAACACATTCACTGCCGGCATTTAATGTTATGCCTTAATTTAAGGTCTCGTGACGTGGAAATTATGTGCTAAATCGATATCTTTCGGCCATGTTAGTATTAAGATCTATCCATTAGGCATATATTGAAACCCTAATTTTTGTACAGCAAATGTAAATTATCCATTACCTCAGACACAAAGTTACAAGCCTAAAGCCGTTTAAAATAATATTGATATAAACCTTGTTAACTCAATGGAGCAGTCTCATTGAAAAGCTAATAAACGATTCGATAATCAAGAAATTGCTCGGCTTTTATGTAACCAGAAATTATATTACCGTGGACAAAGTAAACCGCCACTGGAACCTGTCCTAACTCAGAAGAATATAGTCTATATCCTCCAATTTAATTTTCTTGACACCCACTTTAATATTATCAACCGCCTATGCCTCAATACTCCAATTGGTCTTTTCCCCTCAGGTTTCTAATCACTTCCTTTGCATGCTACAAGCATGATGTTGACAAAGGTTTCCAAAATTGCATTTACGGATAAGTTAAAAACAGATGGAATTCGATAAATATTTGTTACTGTTTAGCTCAGAATATTTTGTGTTCTCTTCAACTATTTAACACCTAAATACGTATTAAGTTATATTAAGATGTCACTGTATCTATTATGAGTGTAAAATATGAGAACCTCTTCCTACGAGAATAACACAGAATGAGGTTATTCTAGAACAAAGTTCCTAAGATAATATCTAGACCTAACGGAGATCAACTTAACAGGGAATCGGAAATATTACGTATTCATAATCGTCATTATTCGCCTAATATTATTAGGGTGAACACATGAAGACGGATAACATATGGGACATGTAGCACGCAAGGCAAGAAATAAAAAAAATTAATCCGGAAACCTGAAAGAAAGAGCCTCCTTGGAAGACCTAGGAGTACATGGGGGGATGTCGTAAAAAACAGGATGGGGTGTGGACCAGATTATTCTAGCTCAGGATGTTAAAAAGTAGTAGTGTCTTGTGTAATGAACATTCGGATTTCATAAAGGCGATAAGTTTCTTTACTAATTGGAATTAGTTGTACTTCCATTTCTGAAACGCAAACGATAGAACTTAAGGCGATGTGACATTATCTCCAAATTATACTTACATGTGAGTAAACGGCAAAGTTGTTTTTGTGTCCAAGAACAACAGCATAATACCTGGAGGTTACGCTACACGCTTTACGCACACATTTACACATTTTGACGACAGTGTAACGTCCGCCCTTTTTGGATGGCCTTACTCGCCTTTACAACTGTAAAAAAGCATTGGAATAAAGTCAAAATAGTTACGTAGTTGGAAGGAGATGCAATATGTCAATAAGAAACTTATATTACAGATTCGGGACTTTCTTTTGTCAACTGACACAGTTATTTATGAGTTAAAAAGTGGTAGTGGAACCATGGTTCCGGAGAATTTGACGTAAATACGTCTATACGGAAAGGAAGTTTATATATTGGCTTTATTCTAAATATTTCCTTTATACATGTTTCACAATTGAGATGAGTTTGATTAAGACTTTGCTTAATCAACTTGAATTAGTTACGCTTAAAATGGGTCTGTGGTAGCTGAATGTAATGTTAAGTAACGTAATGTAATGTAATGTAAGGTAAGGTAAGGTAAGGTAATGTAATGTAAGGTAAGCTAATGTAATGTATTATTATTATTTAGTGTTCTGTCTGACGACAGGTCCATATGAACAGGATCCTTCCATCCTTTTCTCGGACTGAGACCTGATCATATACGTTCTTGGCAGATGATCCAGAAGTGGTTTGCCATTGCCTTCTTCTGTGTGTGAATGGAGTAATTGTTGGGATGCCACAGAGAAACCGGGGAAGCCC